ATTTTGGACAATATTTCTAATGATTTAGCTTTAATAAAGAGGAGACTAGTTAGTCCGAGTGCTCGATGTATTTATTCTTCAATAATAATCTTCTGAGAAAAGTTTCCATTTTCACAGAAGTTTGAGTTTATCAGTGGACTGAATACTGGCACCCTATTGGAAAAACGAGAACGACTTCGGCGAATTTCAATGTTGTTTTTTTTTCATATTATTGTAACTAGAGATGTTAGCGGTTGTTTTTTTTCTTGATACGACTCGCCACACGGATTGATTGATGGGTGTGGGTATGGGTTTGAGGGCGAGAGTGTGGGTGTCTATAAAAAGAACACCCACACCCGTATCCAAACATCGAAATTAACTTTCTGGACTTATCACAATAACTATTAACATCTTTCGAATAATATGGCAAAACTCTTGCACCAAATTAGTTTCTTTTTGACAAGCTATGCGACATAAGAAACGGAAGTTCATGCATACTAGTCTATTAATGATGCACACAATTATCAAATAAATCAAAAAGAGTATGAATCATGTGACATGTGTTTTGATATATGAATATAAAATCTGGAAAATACGGATATTATCAAATCAATATATATACCATAGTTCATGATAGGACTAGTGTTAATGAATAAAATAATAGTTCACAGTTCAAATGCGTAATGATATAACGGGTAATCGAAAAGTCTCTGGAAAAATGTCGCTTCGTTTTTCATTGGTTAAAATATGTTTCGGAAATATGAAAAATATCTATTCAGTATCTACATTGAAAGTCCTTTTTAACTGTATGTTCAAAAAAGTTTTATCATGTTTTCCTTTTTAATAACATCAAAATATAGTCTGTAAAAAGTTACTCATAGTCACTGCAGTAGAAAGAACCGATAAAATCTATTGAATAAAAAAAACAATAACATGTGAAGAAGGGTGGGTGTGGGTGTGGGTGTGGGTGTGGGTGTGGGTGTGGGTGTGAGTGTGGGTGAGTGGGGTGTGAGTGTGGGTGTGGGTGTGGGTCTGGGTGTGGGTGTGAGTGTGGGTGAGTGGGGTGTGGGTGTGGATGTGAGTGTAGTTAAAGTGAAGAGCCACACCCACACCCATAAAAGTGAAGACGATGATGATTTAAATGAAACAGCAGCTGATATATATCGGCATAATACTGATTGGGAAAGGAATCCACTACGGTTAGTTAATTTGATTAGAAATAGCAAAAAGAAAATTTAGATGATATTTGTTTTTAGTTGTCCGATGTATCTTACTGCTCTTCAAGATATTGATAAAAGTTGGTCAAATAATGAACATGAATGTCTTGAAAAGTTTCATAGTATCCGTTCACTTAAATATCTACGTTAAGCATATGAACAATTAAGGACAAATGTATTTGAACAACTTGAGAAACAATTTGGCATTATTAGTACATATGTGGTTTTACATTAGATGATATTAAAGATGGCGATTTGCAACTAATTGATTATGGTTTGTTAAATGAAATATAAAAGAAGAAAAATTATCTATACCTTTTTTTATTTAGATAATCATCATTCAGAAGAAGAATAAATTACTTTGTCCATATGAATGCGATATTGAGACATCGAGATTTCATATTTAATCTATATGTATATATACTTAAAGATTTTTTTTGAAACAATTTTTTCATGAAGTGCAATGTCCTCTATTTTTTTTAAATTAGCATGCGGGTGTGGGGTGTGAGTGTGGGTTTCGGTAGATGTTGATTTGGGTGTGTGCATGAATCCTCTCCACACCCACCCTTATTCTATTTGGAATTGTATCTTAAAGAAAATACCAGGAGTAGCTCCAAATAGTTCTGCATTTCCTACTAATTACTGCTGAACATAGAGTTAAAAGAAGCCCACTTGAGGTAATCTACAGACTTGTAGAGACCAGTATTTTATGGATTTGCTACTTTGAAAACGTTCTGATTATCTCATCTTTGTTAAAAAAATGAAGATTTTACGTCTTTTTCAATCCATACAGAAAATAATATCCATCTCAATTAATCAGTCTTTAGTTATGATTCAAGATAATGCAGGATGTAGGTGTGGATGTTTGCGGTTAAATTTTCTCTTCACACTCACATCCACATCCCACATTTTTTTCAATGATTGGAGCATGGGACCATTGAATGATCGGTGATATTCTTGCTTTAAGTCGTTTCTTGTTCAAGTATTTATTAAGAGGATGGATAAAAATGGCGTTTTTGCAAGCGCATACAAAGCGAAAAGTTCTTCGATGAAAAACGTGAATATTAATAATAGATTTAGGTCGTCTGCTTTAAGAACATTCATAACATTTGAAAAAGTACCGTTCTTGATTGCATACTTAGTTCTTTTCTCAACATCAAGTTTATTCACAAACAATTCAAGGTTTTTACTAAAGATCTCCATTTTCACAGCTCTTATCAGACAGAAAAGATAGATCATCTTAAATAGTTAAAAGATTCGACATATGTTATGTCTCTTTATTGCACATTTTGCAGCAACGAACATCAATATATAAGGATTAAATCAATAAAAAAAAATTATAAAAATCTTTTTCAATAAATCATATTAAACAGCATAAATACAAAAATAAATTTTCGTAAATATTTTCAAAATGTCATAATAATTAATTGGAGATCAACCGATAAATACAATGTCTTTACAACATCATAACAAAATTAATTATAGCATGACTCATATTAGCAAAATAAAATAGTGTACGATAAAAAAATAGCTTCGTAAAACTAAAAAAGTGCTATATTAATATATTTTATTAAATCTATCTAATATGACTTTATTCCCAAACGACTTATTTAAAGTTAAGTCAATGTGTGTGAATTCATTATGAAAGTTTTATAAATAAAACAAAATTTTGCGCTCTGTTTTGTCGTTCTACATTATTTTGAAATTATTTCGTACATTCCAATGAATTCTCATGTCAACTGTGACATATAGTTAGAGATCGAATTATATTTTATCTAAAAGAATATTTTCTAGTCCACGTGTGTGTGATAGAATTCGATGATTTTATCTTTGATTTGTTTGTTTATAATCATATATAAGATATCGAAGATTTAAATAAATTTGATTCGATTAGAAATAAATAAAACAAACACGAAATAATGTCATTAACTGCAATAGAATATAATAATCAAGGTAATAAATATTATTTAAATAATGAATCATTATTATCAATTGAATCGTACAATGAAGCAATTAAATTAATTGAAAATAATTCGAAAGAAAATCTTTCATTATATTTATTATATTTAAATCGTTCAGCTGCTTATATTCAAGATAAAAATTTTTATTCAGGATATGAAGATGCTAAATATTCATTAAAATTAAACCAAGTTAAAAATTTTAAAGCTTTGTATCGTGCAGCTATTTGTTTATATCATCTCGGTTTTATTGAAGAATCTCAATTATTTATTAAAGAAGCTGTTGAAGATCATAAAACAAATCTTATTGATTATTTAAATTTAAAATTATTAATCGAAAAAAAAGTTAATACTATGAATAAATGGAGAAAAACTTTAACTGACGCAAAACAATCAATTAAACATCTTCAAGATATTATTGAAAAGTAATTTTAATATAAAATTTTCGTTTTTATTCATTTCGTTTTTATTTTATTTTAAAAGAAAAGTTTTACCGTGTGAAATTTCATCGATTCTTTATCATATTCGTTATTTATTACGAGCTTATTTTGACAATGAAAAAGATAAAAATTTACTAAATATAGATACAGCTGATCTTGGATTGAAATTACAAGAGTTAGCTACTCAATTTAATGCCGTTTTTAATGTTCAAGTATGAGTTTTTTTATATTTATCATTAAGTAATATTTAAGTTTTCATCTATTAAAATAAAAATAAATTTACTTTCAGACATATGTATTTTATTTAATATCATCAAAAATTTGTTTTTTTTTTCACTATTTCATAAGAATTTTTTTCGTAACTATAATTAAGAAATCTATCTTAGAAAAATGAATCTTATTTAAAAAAATTCATTTTTAATTTAATTAATATTTATTTGTAGAGACACATTGAGCACTACACATGATCAATTTAAATATAATCTAATATCGATATTTTTGAATTAAATTTACTGATATTATTATTATTATTATTATCGAAAATTTCTATTTTGTTTTTTTTTGTCATGACTACATATTGAAAATAATGCACTTAAATAATCCTAGAATAGATTTTCCTAAAAGTTTGAATATTTCGTTTAAAACTTATATCTTGTCAAACTAGATTCTATTTATATTGAAAATTAATCATATAATGAGAATTAATAAGAAAATATTTCTTCAAAAAAAAAATTTGAATACCAAGAAAAAATTCATTTAACTTAGTCTTATGAAAGCATTTCTAAAACAAAATAGAATTACTTTCAACAACAAAAGTTAACTGACTCCTTTTTATAGTGAAAGTCTGTGTATATTTTTTTCATTAGACTATGAATCATGTAAAAATTCTTTGGGATAAGGAGAAAGATTTTTATATAATCTGTATCAAATTTAAATCCTTGAAATATTCGATGAAGATTTATTTTCATTTAATAGAAACTTATTTTTTTCTCTAAGATCTTAGCATTATTTGAAGAGCAAAAAAATAAACGTAATAAAGAATTTTTTTTTTATTTATTCAATAAATTCATCATAATGAATGTTGTTTTTACGTTGTAAGAAATTTTAAAAAATCTGCTATCTCAATCGTTGTAAGATTGAAATATGAATCACGATGTAGTTGTTATTTTATTCTATTCTTTAGATTGAAAGGATAGAGTGTAAATGTAGCAAAAGTACTAGAATTATAAAGGTCGATTTCTCGTTTAAAATATAAAATTCAAAGTTTTTAATTACGAAAAACCAGTTTATTGAAATAGTTACTGTTTCACGTGAAGTAATCTGGCAAGTTTATTTAGCACTCTCGGAAGAGTACATTTAGAATCAGGAAGCAGTGGTGTGCATATCTACCTCCGATCAGTCTAGGATTCAGTGAATCAAGAATCGACGAATGTTATTTGTATAATTTGGAATTCATTTATTCAATAAGTTTTACTTAATTCTTTATAACGATCAATAATTGATATATTGTCGCGAATTGTGTATTCAAACGTCTCTCGCG